CAGCAGGAGTAGCTGCAGCAGCTATAGCCGCAGCAGCAACAACCGCAGCAGCGACAAACGTAGCAGCAGCAAGCGTAGCAGCAGCAGCAGCAGCAGATGCAGCAACAGAAGGAGAGGATTCGTCTGCCACTGCAGCAGATAGGCGTGCAGCAGACAGAAGAAATGAAACTGCAGCAGCAACTGCAGCAGCAACTGCAGCAGCAACTGCAGCTGCAGATGATGCAGGAGCAGCAACGGGAGCAGCAAAGGCAGCAGATGAAGCCGCAGATGCAGCAGCAGCAGATACAGCAGCATCAGATACAGCAGCAGCACCACCAGCAGCTGCAGGAGATGCAACAGCAGCAGCAGATGCAGCAGCAACCGCAGCAGATGGAACAGCAGCTGCAGCAACAGATGCAACTGCAGCAACAGAAGCAGCTGAGGCTGTATCTGCTGCCGCGACGCAGCAGCAGAAGCGACGGCGGCGGGCAAAGCAGCAGCAGCCACGAAAGGAAGCAGTAGCAACAGCAGCAGCAGCAGCAGCTGATGAGGCTGCTGCCGGCGGCTTCAATGCGGTAACAACGAAGCAGCAACAGCAACTGCAACAGGAGCAGCAGCAACAAATCAGTGAGCAGCAAGGCTCCCCGCAGCCGCAGCAGCAGCAACAGGAAGGCCACCAGCAGCAGCTGGAGCAGCCAGACCGGCAGCAGCAGCAAGCTTCGCCGCTCGAGACAGATCAGCAGCAACCGCCACAGCAGCTGGAGAAAGCTCTACTGCAGCAGCAGCAGCAACTGCAGCGGCAGCAGCAGGAACAGCAGGAGCAGCAACACGAGCAGCAGCAGCAGCAGATCCCGCAGCAACCGCAGGACCAAGACCTGCAGCAGGAGCAGCAGCAACAGCCACCGCAGCAGCAGCAGCGCAAGCAGCCAAAAGACTCGCAGGTGCATCAGAACTCCCAGGGGCAGGAGCAGCAGGAGCAGCAGGAGCAGCAGCAGCAGCAGCAAGAGCAGCAGCAGGATCTACAACATGAACAGGATCAACAGCAAAATGAGCTGAAGCAGCAACAAGAAAAGCAGCAGCAACAGCAGCAGCGGCAGCGAGGCCGCCAGCGGCAGCGGGAAGTGCAGCAACAAGCGCAGCAGCAGCATCAGAAGACAAAGGAGAATGACGAGCAGGAAAAGCAGCAGCAGCAGCAGCAGCATCAGGAGCAGCAACAGCAGAAGCAGCAGATGCAGGAGCAGCAGCAGCATCAGGAGCAGCAACAGCAGAAGCAGCAGATGCAGGAGCAGCAGCAGCAGCAGCAGCAGCTGCAGGACAAGGAGGAGGAGCAGCAGGAGCAGCCTCAGCGGCACCAGGAGCAGCAGCCGCAGCAGCAGCACCTGCTGCTCCAGCAGCAGCAGCAGGAGCATGCAGCAGCTGCTGCAGCAGGGAACGAAGTCGGCCGTCCGGAAGGCAACGCATCTGCTGCTGCCTCTCCGGCGATCGCTGGCTCCGACGCTGCTGCTGCTGCTGCTTCTGCTGCTGCAGCAGCTGCTGCAGCGCAGTGCCCCTCCGCTGATGCATCCTCTGATGCAGGCCCTGCAGCGCAAGCTGGTGCTGCAGTTGCTGCTGAATCGGCCAGCGAGCACAATGAACAGCAGCAGCAGCAGCTACCGCTGGAAAGCAGCGGCAGCAGCAGCAGCAACGACAACAGGAAGAAGCGCGTCACTGAAGGCAAAGATGCTGCAGCAGCGCCTAATGCAGAAGCAACAGAAGCAGCAGCAGCAGCTTCTGCTCCTGCGGCAGAGCCCCCGCGGAAGCGCGGCCGCTGTACTCCACTGCAACCTCCTTCGCCTGTAGCAGCAGCAGCAGCAGCAGCATCAGCAGCAGCGGCGGTGCCGAGAACCCCTGGAGCGTCTGCACCCGAAGCAGCCATGTCAACGCCAGCTGCTGCTGCTGCTGCTGCTTCGGCTGCTGCTGCTGCTGCATCTGAAAAGTGGGTGAGGCCGCTGCGCAGCAGTGGAGGCAGCACGGGGGCCCGGAGGAAGCACGGCAGCAGCAGCAGCAGCAGCAGCCGATTTTCACGTTTTGTGGCTTCTCTTGAACAGCAGCAGCAGCAGCAGCAGATGCTCCTGCAGAAAACGCCGCAGCAGCCGCGGCAGCAGGAGCCGCAGCAGCAGCAGCATCGTCAGCAACCGCAGCGGCAGCAGCTGGAGCAGCAGCAGCAGCAGCAGCAGCAGCAGCAGCAGCAGCGTGCAGATTATAGAGGAGGCGCCAATTCCTTACAGTCGTCCTCCGCTGCTGCAGGTGACGCAGCAGCTTCTCCCTTCTACTTAAGTGCTGCTGCTTCGGCAGCAGCAGCTGCAGCAGCAGCTGCAGCAGATGACACGGCAGCAACGCAGTCCTTGCTGCAGCGTCGCCGTGCTGCTCCTCTCCTTCACCCGGGATCACAACAGCAGCAGCAGCAGCAGCAACAGCAGCAGCAGCAGCAGCATCATTCGAGGCCTGCGCACAGTGACGGGCCCATGCGTGCTGCTGCAGC